ACTAACCCAGGACAAGGATAACAGTTCTTCTGGTTGCCACCACCTACAGCCCCTGGCTTGAACACCTTAGGTATATCATTAACGACTTCCAGTCCCTCCTGGAAAAAGACCATCTCAGGGTAGCCCTTGGGAACAAACCTGTCCTGGCTTTTAGACAGCCCGCCAACCTCAAATAGCATCTCTCAAGGAAAAAGGCTACCTAACTGCCAGTCTTACCAGGGCACCAAGCCTTGCAATGGACCCAAATACCTTCTGTGCCCTAACACTAAAACTGAATGTGTCATCACTGGACCGAATAACATGGATTGTAACATCTGAGATTCATTCACTTGCAACTTTCCAGTTACCTGGATTAGCTTCGGGGACTCCTTTTGCCCCTATGGGTTTATTGTCTGTCTGTCTGTCTCTCTCTCCCCCAGTACTACTCCCTTCCTCTCCTTCCCTTGTAGTTTCTCTCTCCTTATACTCTTTCTGCCTTGCAATGTGTGATGAAGTGAGCTTCTCCTCACAAAATATGGTGCATGTACGCTGTGTGCACGTGTGTATTTCTACTGGGGTTAGTCCGTAAGATTCATAGACTCATAGATTGTAAGGCTGGAAGGGACCTCAGAAGATCATCAGGTCCAGCCCCTTGCACCAAGCAGAAAAGACAGTGGGGGGTCAGGTGACCCCAGCAAGGTGACTGTCCAGTCTCCTCTTAAAGATTTCCAGGGTTGGCAATTGTACCACCTCTGGAGGGAGCTTATTTCACAGTCTGGACACCCTAGTTGTGAAGTAGTTTTTCCTAATGTTGAGCCTGAAATGGTTTTCCAGGAGTCTGTGACCTATTACTCCTAGTTTTCTCCAAGGGTGCCCTGGTGAACAGTTGTTTACTGAGCCCTTGATGTATGCCCCTGATGGTAGCAGTAAGCTGCTACCAAGTTCCCTCTCGGCCTTCTCTTTTTTAGGGTGAAGAGTCCCAGACCCCTCAGCCTTTCCTCGTATGGCTTGCCATGCAAATCTCTGATCATATGGGTGGCCCTTCTCTGGATTCTCTCAAGCTTTACCACACCTTTGTTAAAGTGCAGTTTCCAGAACTGGATGTAGTACACTCCAACTGCGGTCTCACCAATGCTGAGTAGAGTGAGAGAATCACTTCTTTTGTTTTGCTGGAGATGCATCGATTGATGCGTGCTAGGGTCTTGTTAGCCCTGCTGGTTACAGTGTCACACTGCTGGCTCACATTCATACTGTGATCTATTATTACCCCCAGGTCCCTTTCATTCATAGTGTTGATCAGGTTGGCGTTGCCAAGCCTGTAGATGTACAGGGGGTTGTTCATCCTCAGGTGGAGCACTTTATATTTCTCAACATTGAAATGTATCTGGTTCTGGTCCGCCCAACTTGCAAGCCTGTCTAGGTCCTGCTGTATCTGCAGCCTGTCTTCTTCAAGCATGACCATGCTTCCCCATAACTTGGTATCGTCTGTGAACTTGGCCAATGAGCTCTTCACCCCCATATCTAAATTATTGATGAAGATGTTGAATAGCACCGGGCCAAGCCCTGCAGGACACCACTAGCCACTTCCCAACAAGATGACACAGATCCGTTCATGAGAACTCTCTGGGTCCTACCCTGCAGCAGTTTACTACCTACCTGACTGTCTCGTAGTTAAGCCCACAGTCTTCCAATATTCTTGCAAGAACATCGTGGGATACCAAATCAAAAGCTTTTTGGAAGCTGAGGTATATAATGTCAACCTCTTCTCTCTTATCCAGGTGATGAGTTACCTGATTGTAAAAGGAGATGAGGTTGGTAAGCTGAGACCTGCCCGTGTCAAAGCCATGCTGGCTGTCATTCAGAATCCTACCTTCTGCAAGCCCTATAGCACATCGACTCCTTAATTAATTTTTCCAGGGGTTAGAAGTTAGGCTAATTGACCTGTAGTTACCTGGGTCCTCCCTCCTCCCCTTCTTGAAGATGAGCACAACATTGGCCCTCTTCCAGTCCTCGGGGACCTCCCCAGAGCGCCATGAATTTTGGAAGACTCATATATGTCCAGTTTCTTTAATTGATCTTGCACAGTTTTATGGCAATAGTTGGAAGGCAGTCATTTGAACCCTGCTCATTCTGTACCCTAGCTGACATGATTTTCCCCTTGGCCCAGGAAAGACTGAAGCAAAGTAGTCATTCAGGAGTTCAGTTTTCTCCTGAGTGCTAGTGACTAGCTGTTCTGAGTTGTTGAGCAATGCCCCACACTCCCACTCATTTTCCTCCCATTCCCTACATATCTTAAAAAGGACTTCTTGTCCTTGATTACCATTGCTAGTTTTAGTTCAGTTGCTGCCTAAGCTTTTCTAATCTGATCCCTACAAGTGCAGGCCATTGCTATGTAGTTCTCCTTGGGGGCTGTCCCTAGCTTCCATTGACTGTACACCTCTTTCTTTTTTCTTAAGAGGATCAGGATTTCTCTGTTTAGCCAAGAAGGCTTCCCAGCCCTTTTGCTCCATTTCGTCTGCATGGGAATGGACTTCCTTTGTGCTTCAAGGAATCATGTCCTTTAGGAACGACCACTGTTCACGCATTCCTTTTGCCTTTGGTCCCTGGCCCCTCAGCACATTCTCTGTTAGTGACCTGAACTTGTTGAAGTTTGCATTTTTGAAATCCAAAACTTCAAGCCTGCTATCAGATTTATCTGCCTTGTGTTGGACCGTGAATAGTTTCATGGTCACTGTTGCCCAGGCTGCCCTCTGTTTGTCGGTCACCAGGTCGTCTCCTTTTGCCAGGACCAAGAAGAGTGTTACCTCTGGTTAGCCTGTGTACCTGCTGAGTCAAGAAAAGCTCTTTGATGTGGGTCAGGAAGGAGTGCGACTGATCCTACTTAGCCGAGTTTTCCTCCCAAGAGACGTCTGGATACTTGAACATGACAACCGTGTCCCGTGCCCACGCAGCCTCTGTTAGTTCTTGGGCGAACTGTAGATCAAGTTCCTTGCCCTTGTTTGGAGATCTGTAGCATACGCCTACAGTTAGATCTCTTTCACCACCCTCCTCTCCCCTGCAGCTTAACCCAGAGGGTTTCAAGTCATTCATGTTTGGAGCCGATGTTGGCCTCCAAGGAGGTGTATTGCTCCTTCACATAGAGAGCCGCACCTACACCTTTTTTGCTACTTGATCCCTTCTATGCAGAGGATAACCCTTTATGGCTACGCTCCAATTGTGTGAAGGAGTCCCACCAGGTCTTTGTAATCCCTACTAGATTGTAATGGCTGCTGGAGAGCAGGAGAGCTAGTTTCTCCTGCTTGTTCCCCCTGCTCCTGGCATTAGTGTACAGGCACCCGAGTCGCCCTACTGAGGCTGTCAACATCCTGTCGCACTGAAGGAGAACTATTCCCTCCACTCCCATAAGAGTGGCCCTCCTGGTGTCCCTATCTACAGAGTTTCCTTGCACGTTGGTCCCCAGGCATGCTCCAGTCAGTGTTTTCCTGTCCTCTAGGAATCTTGGTTTAAAGCCCTAAGGTACAAATCTATTCTGTCATTCCTCAAATAGCCACGAGGTGGTACCCTTGCCTCAGCCAGTCTGTCCCCAGTCCTGGCTGTGGCTCACCATCCCCAAAATAAGACCCTGCCAGAGCATGCTAGTTTGACAGACCAACAGGGCTGTAGCCAGACTAGACTGATTGCACTCCCTGTATATGGGATAGTGAGGGCAGAGAAGGCTTGTTAGGATTCTACTCAAATGGTCCTGGCTGGTTTTGTAGGTGAGAAAAGAGTGAATGTGGGGCTCAGCTTCCCCAGACCTAGTCCAGTGGGTTTGGAGCTGCTGTGCTTAGGCCTTCCGGACAGCAGTGGGACCTCAGCAGGTAGCTCCATGGAGCAGCTGGAAAGATTGATGCTTGGGGCTCATGGCTGGCCAGGACATTTGGAGACAAGCCAAGTCTATCAGCTTTTCTGTCATGCACCCTCACAGAGATTGGATCTGATCTATTTGGGACCAGACCCATGGCTCTGCCTAGCTGCACTGGTCTCCTGGGAGGGCATCTGGTGTCAGGTACCATGGAGGAGTTAGCCCATGTGGTGCTCTGTGCCAGTCTGCATCCCTAGATGTATCATGGGCCCAACCCAGTGCTCCCCAGCACAGACTCCAACCTAGCCCTGACTGGCTGATTCCATGCCCTGCCCTGAGTGTGTCTGGTCAGCAAAATGTAAGGCCTCTAGAGGATCCATGGGGGAGGGAAATGGGGAACTTGTTCTGCTCAGAACTGAATTCAGGACTGCCTCAGCCCCTCCCTCACTGCCAGAGCTGGAAGCTCAGTGCTCAGCCAGGAAGGGCTCTGCCAGTGCTCCTGACCCACAGCCCTCATTAGCCCTGCCCTGGGCTGATCTGCTAGTTTTGTTGGCGACCCTTACTCCTGATCTGCCACCCCACTGCCAGCCCTGGGCTCCCTAATGTGTCCCTTGAATCCTAGTGAACTCCATATTGTCTGATAGGTTGTCAGGATGCAACGTGCAGGGCTCAGCTATAGGGGTAGTGAGTCATTTATTCATAGGAATGAGAACCTCATGGCCTAGACTCCAGGGTCTGTGCCATTTATATGACACCCACACTTCCAGGGCCACTGGCCCCCTTTGAGAGAATGGGCAGGGCATGGGGGGGACCCTGATTCCTGCCCCCAACCTTGCCAATGGCCCTTGTCCCCAAGATGCTTTGGCAATAGCTGTCCCCATCTACTGGGACCCTCCAAGCAGTGATCATTTGAGTCCCTGAACACCCCCAAAGCCTTGAGGAGGGTCTTCATGTGGCCAGTGTTCACAGGCTACAGGGCTAGTGTGTGCTGGGTGGGGGCTTGGGCCATTCCTGCCTGTAAAGTCCTGTTAGTGCCTACCAGGCACTGCTCCTCCATTGGTGAGTCTGATATAGTGCCACTAAGGCATTCCAGCAGGGTCTCTGCTATCAGCCCTTGCTAGTACCATGTAGTGTGGTGCTGTGAAGGAGCTAACAAAGCCCATCTTGCTGTTCCCAGGCTGCTTCAGGGAAGTTCCTGCCACTGGCACAGTGGCTGTACTTTGATGCCCTGGAATGCCTGCCCAAGGATGGAGCTGCATCACTGACCGAGGAATCCTGTGCTCCAGTGAGTACTGTTTCCAGCTGCCCCAGCCACTGTGTCCATTCTCCTGACCTCCATGCTGGATTGGGAGAAGGGCTTTGGCTCTGCCACCCTCTCTAGTCTTGTGGGGGTCTGGGCACGGACAAGGAATCCCTAACAGCATGTCTGCCTCTATCCCCAACAGCGTGGCTGCCGCTACGATGGACAAATTGCTGTGTTTGGGGCCAATTTCCAGGAGAGGCTGGGCCAGCAGAAGTACTTTGTGGTGAGCAGAGGGCAGGGACACAGGAAAGACAGAACAGGGGCTTTTGCCTTTACCCCTGCAATGCTGGCCGGGGTCAGGG